GCATGGATCCCATTCATGAGGGCTCCACCCCTGTGACCCACCTCCCAAAAGTCTGCAAAAAGGCGTCCTCAGTCTTCCTCTTAGCTGGGCCCTTTTGTGCCGTGTGGAGACTATACAGTCATACTCAGCCAACTTGCTTATCTGAGTTTCAAAAATAATTGTGGCTTAAACTTCCCAATACCATCACCTTGAGGTTTAGGGGGGATATAAACATTCCAACCTAGCAAGTTCATTATAAAGATTAAAACTAAATGATTACAGTCTTAAAGGGAATCACTCTTCCATTCTGGCCTCAGTCAGAAGCACGAGTTATAAGAACTTTCTAGCATCAGAAAGAAGTCTACTGGTAATCTAGACTTTGCTACAACTTTCTCGTTCCAAAACTCACCAGCTGTGTGGTCCTGGTTGTATATCTTTAGCTCTCTGATTGTTAACCTCTACTAAATAAGACCAAGAACTATTTGGCAGAACTGCTAGATGTACCAAATAAAATAACATATTTATAATATATGTCAAAGAACCCAGCACTGAGCTTATCACATACTTGGTACATAGAAGGAGCTCAATTTGGAAGGGGAAAAGGAATCAAATGCTATTCTCCTTCCCATAGGGAAATTCTGTATATCAACTTTTCAACTTTTTTTTTTTTAGTATCTACTAGTTGCAAGGCATTTCAATATGGTTTCTTTCTCTATCTGTGCATAGTGGGGAGAGATAACAAAGTAGAATGGAGAGATCATCTTCACCTTTGGGGAGCTTCAAATTGGCATGCATAAAAAAGAGAATCAAGAACCAGGTGAACTCATTTATATATTATGCATGTTTCTAGCAGAGCACCAAATGAAGTCAGTATTAGACACACAATTATTGGGCTGTATGAGCTGAGAGGATGGAAGAATTCTCCCAAGCACACCTTGGAGGGATCAAGGAAATCTGAGGTGACACTTGATGAGGAACTCTTTAAAGATGTGAGCTGGACTTAACCTGCACTTGAAAGAGTAATCCAAGCTGAGTGATGTTAGGGGACTGGAAAATGCAAGTATGATAACAATAAAGAGTCTGGGTGGCTCATCTGCAACCTGCACCAGGGTGGAGACAAGCATTTCTGGACCTCTGCTGAGAACCCATGAAGGAAGGTAAAGAATTGGATCCTTTATTCTGAAAACTCCTGGGGACTATTGAAAATGTGAGTCTTGGGAGATGATCTCTGATTGGAGGTTTTGGCTCATTTATCCCAGTGTGGGTATGGGGGTGCCTGGCCACATCTGGGTCAGGATATGACACTCCTTCTCTCCACCTTGGGCCATGACCAAGGCCTCAGATGCTACATCAAAAGCAGCTTAAAGGGGCTGGGATTGTGGCTCAGCGGTGGAGCTCTCGCCTAGCATATGCAAGGCCCTGGGTTCAATCCTTAGCACCGCAAAAAACAAATGAATAAATAAAATAAAGATATTGTGTCCAGTGAATATATATATATATATAATTTTTATTTTTTTAAAGCAGCTTAACAAGTCCCCTGGGTTCTGATTCCTACTTCCATTCCAGGTCTGGCACCTGGGTTCTGCTCTGTTCTCTTGCTGTGTGCCCTGTCTTTGGAATCCGTTTCTCTACCAAATCAGTTTGGAATGCTTCTTCTCCTTTGGGTTTTCTTCTTAGCTTTGCACTTTGGTCTTACTCCTAGAAAATGCCTCAGGTTTCCCTTTAACCACTCCCTGGCCCAGCCTAAACTTCCTGCAACCTCTCTTTAGGGAGGACTCAGGTTCTCTCTATTTGAGAGCAGAGCATGGATATTTTTATGCCCTTAGTTCAGATTCTTTCACTTGTGTGGAGATGAGAAGCAGGAGAACCTGTTGAGTGGGTGTTGATATAGTCGAGGCCTGAGATGATAAGGGCTGGACTAGGACCTTGTCACAGGGCTGCAGAGTTAGAGGGAGTGAGCACTGCATGGAAAAGACATCATGAAGTCAGAACTGGCAGGGCTATAACTTATGCATATGACTTTTAATTATGGACCCCTCTTTCCATCTTTCCAAACTCTTGACGCACATCTTGTTTTCATTTCTCCTAATGGTCTGAGATCTTGGAGACTTTGCAATCTGAGTGATTAGGAGAGATGACCTGCTGTGGGTTTCAGAAGGCTGGTGTGGAGCCATTATTCAAACACGAATGCATCTTTTATTTTAAAAGAGAGAGATTTTTTTTTTATTCAAAGTCTGCATATGTTAATTGAAGATTTGGAGGAGGAGGCTGGGGGAACATTCTGAAACCATCCAAAATAGTTAATCTGCATAGGGAGCAGGATGTGATTCTGAAAAGGGAATGCTCATTAGATAATGCTGTCCTCTAGGCTTCCAAGAACACACTCCCAGGGAGCCATCCTCTGAGTAGGTCCTTAGACAGAGGAGTGGGCCCACATTTTGCTGCTTGTTGGAATCATCTGCAGGTCCCTAGGAAACATTGAAGTCTGGCTGTAATCCCAGACATTGTGACTTTACTGAGGTATGATTGACATGCAAGAAAGCTGTGCATATTTAACTTAGACATCTTAATGACTGAAGATAGGTGTACACCTTTGCAACCATAACCATAAACAATGGCATGAATTTAACGCCCCAAATTTCCACCTCCCTCTTTTCTGGTGATAAGAACATTTAACATAATAAGGTCTACCCTCTTATTTTGAGGTATTCAAATTTTCAGTAAAGAATATAGTGTCGTTAACTACAGGTAATGTGCTCTACTGTAGATCTGAAGGGCTTAGTCATCTTCTATAACTGAAACTTAACTACCTTTTGACCAGCACCCACCCTGCTTCCCTTTCTCAGAAGTCTTAGAAACCTCCATTCTGCTTTTATGAGTATGACTACTTTTGATTTCTAATACAAGTAGAATCATGTAGTGTTTGTTGTGTCTGGTTTATGTCATTACAACTCAATGGCAAAAATCAGATTAAAACATGGGTAAAAAACCTGAATAGTTATTTCTCCAAAGACCGCATCAAATGACCAACAATCATGTGAGAAGTTGTTCAATATCACTAATGGGGAAATGTGAACCAAAACCATGGAGATAACCACCTCACATCTGTTGGGATGGCTGTTATCAAGAAAAGAAAACAAATCTTGGCAAGGATTTGGAAAAAAAGGGAACCTTTGGACAATATTGGCAGGAATGTAAATTAGCATATGGAAAACAGTAAGGAGGTTCTACAAAAAAAATTGAAAATGATTCAGGTATCTCCTGATTTCAAGGAATTGAAATCAGGATTTGGAAGAGCTGTTTGCACACCTGTGTTCATTGCTATGATATTTTCAATAGCAAAAACATGGAAAAATCTACATTTCCATTGACAGATGAATGGATGAAGAAAATGTGGCATATACGAGCAATAGAATGTTATTTAGTTTTGAAAAAAGAGGGGAATCCTAGCATTTGCTATAACATGGATGGACTTGGAGGATATTATGTTATAATTATGAATCACTTGGAGGAGATTCTAATGTGTGGCAAAGTTTGGGAACCTATAGAGGAGGATGTAGTGAGAATAGACATTTTGCTTACAGTGATTCTCACATTTGAGCATGCATCAGAATCGCCTTGGGAGTTGTTTAAACACAGATGACTGGGTCTCACCCCAGAACATCAATAGTTCTGCAGTGGAGTCGAAGAACTGGCATTTTTAACTGGTCCCCAAGTGATGCTGATGGTTGGGGTCACACTTTGAGGATCACTGGCTTGGAAGAGATGGGTCTTGCTTTACCACATATAGCTACATAACCCTGCACCTGTCACTTTCACTTGTTCTTTAAAAAGTCCAGTTTCTGCATTTATAGCATAAGGACAGCAGTGGTGAGTGTGTCTTGGGTCACTGGATGGGTGAAATGAGATGGTATTGCAAACTGCTTAGCTCACGGCCTGTGTCGCAGGAAATGTGCAACCCACGCTGGATTTTACCAGTGTGTTTCCTCAGAACCTAAGGTCTTTCCTTAGGTTCAATCTGCTAGTTGCTCAGTGTGTTAAAGTGAGTTTTTGCTCCTGAAAGTCCTACTCTTAGGCTTTCCGAAACAGGAAATCTGGGTACTCTCATGTACTGCAAGTGTTCTGGGGTCTAGCAGAAAGGGTCCACCCCGGGGGTGTTGGCATATGTCAACCACGTGGTCCATCAGACTCCAGCCTCACGTGAGTGGTGTGGCCTTGTGGATCCCTGCTCTCCTGCCCGGATTCCATGTCATGCTGGGGTTGTTCTGCACCACCTTCCCAACACCTCTAGGGCAGTGAGTTGGGGTTATCCTAGTCACATGGCAACCAAACTGGTACCCAGGGAGATGGGAACAAGGCCCTGAATGGCCGCCAATGGCTTTGGAAACCACAAAATGTGTTCTCTCGATGGGCCAATGGATGTCCACACGATGTTTTCTCTTTTTCTCCCCATTTGCCCAGAACTCTCTTGGGTACACATTTCCCTCCTTTCCTATGTCCTAGAGAAGGGAACTGAAGCCTAATGTTTATCCCTGGGTGGTAGATGCCCTCTCCAGGATGGAAGGGATGCCCATGTTGGTCTGAGGCTCTGAATAGCAGAGTCAGCAGGTGGGCATAGGGTGCAGAGCAAAGGGGCACGGCTGCCACCTCTTCCTGGGCCCCTTGACTGAGTGCATTTGTGGAGTTGTATTTTCCATGTTTTCACCAGGCCAAGTTCCAGGGGATTTTTGGTAGTTTGAAAACATCTCTTTATTTTTATTTTTTTGTAGAGACGTACTCATCCAGCTAATCTTTACTGCTCCCACGTGGTTTGAGGAACTGGTGCCCGTGAATCCCAGTGGGTGTGGAGAAGGGGCACTTAGGGCTGGCCCAGAGGGTGAGAGGCAGAGGCCAGTTTTGCCTTGAGTTCTGGTTGGTCAAGGTGCTCAGGATCCCTGGGGTGGGAGGGGGTGAGTACCTGGGTTTTTCTTGGTTCCTCTTGGATTGAAGAGCTAAAGGAGACACAGGCGGGGGCTGGGGGGGAATGATGCATGGAAAAGCCGCGGGAGGTCATCTTTTTCAGATTGTTTATAGAAAATAACCCAGTCCCCAGGGAACAGGGTTGACTTGCTCCAAGTCACAGAGGATGCTGGGACAGAACAGGGCCTAAGATCCCAGGCCCTGCCTGCTTTTGTCACCTGTGCCTGTGTTCCTCCCTCAGCACACCTCAGGCATGTACCTTTGACCTGTCTGCTGGGTATCGGGCTGCTGTCATTTGATATTAATCTGGTGTCCCCATGGTGATCAATGCTAACCCTTTCCTGTAAAGAGAGGCATGGTATGATTCAGGTGAACTTCCAGTAGATAGGCTACACAGGTGCTCCCTCTCTAGGGACCATTCAGACGACAGTGCAGGTGGTGTGCTAATTGTTTTAAGTAGCTGATAGTAGTTAGGCCTCATAACTCATGGAGGCAGTTATTGGTATTCCTAACGTACAGATCAGAGACATAAAACAAACTGCCTAGCGTCACACAGGAGACAGGTGGCAGGGTAAGTTTGATCCACTATTCATATTCTTCAGCCATTATGCTGTCTGCTATTGCAAACTAAGGAAGATACTGACCCAGAAAGGAAGCAGCAAAGCGCACCAAGAAAGACTATCACCTGTTCGCCCTGAACCTGTGTAAGTATTTGGTTTTCTGGAAAGATACAATTGCTTAGAAACAGGCCTCCGTGCCATCCTGGCCGAGGCTGTCACGTAATAGTGATGCCAAAAAGTGAATGTGAAAATTCAGTCAAGTGTAGGATTTTAAATATGAAAAAACCCGGACTGTTGGAAATTGTCATTGTCAATATGCTTTGTCACTTGATATGCTTGTGAATTTTCTATTCATACAGACGCCACGTGCCTTTGCTTTCTCTCCTTCCGGTGATTGTGATGGAAAGGAGACATGAAAGTTATTTTTAATTTGGCCACTGAACGAACATCCAGGCCTTCCCTTCCAGCAGCTAAGCCTATATGTTTTCTCAACAGGGTATTAATTACCTGGCTCTGAGAATGGCCAGACAGACTATTCTGGCATCTCTGGCTGCCCTGCTGGCTGCATGCAATTGCTTGTGGACCCAGCAGGACTCAGAGACTTCCACAGGATGCATCCTCCTTCTCAATAAACTCAGACATAGGTACTGGGTAACTTGTTAAACACATTTATTGATTTTTTTTTTTATGACAGTAACCAAACACAGTGAGTGACCATTTATAAACAAGAAAAGAAAGGCATTCGTTTGTACTTTGTGAGATCCGGCTGCACCTGGAGAGAAAGACACCCCTTTCCCGGGAATTTACAAGGCAAAGTGCATTCCTTCACGGGAGCATCACAGGGGAGGGGATGGCAGTTTTTTGAAACGCGAGAAATCGGTCGCCTGCAACGTCAGGCTGAAGCTCACCTTGTATGAAGGATGGCGCCATGGAGTGGAGTTAAAGTTATACTTGCTTAGCAAATGCATTCCTGATTGCCACAAACCCAGTAAAACTGGCTGCAGATGAACGGACACATAGATGAAGGAGAAGGGAAACCAAAGAATGCAGCTGAGGGGAGCCAGGGCTCAGCCTGCCGGGAAGGAGAACAGACCCGAGCCAGAAAAAAAAAGTGAAATTAACTCGTTCAACACATTTATTGAGCTGTTAACAATAACCAAACACAATGTATGACCTTTGGAAAACAAGAAACAGCAAATGGATCAGTTCTGATCTTGGCAAATCCTACTACAGATATGTGACAAAGAGGGGAAATAATTCCATTTCTTTATAGTCTGCAGTGATATATATATATATATACAGTGTGTAGCTCTTCAGTGTCTGTCCTTTTTTAAATTTCTTTTTTTTTTTTTAAATCGTTGAGTAAACAGAAGAATCGTTATCTAGAAATAAAGTGTCCTTGCTCAGCTTTGTCCTGGTTCACTGTCACCAGCATCCTCAGAGGATCCTAGGACACTGTTGGAGAGGACTGGAAGCAATGTTCGGTTGATGTGTTCAGAGCTGTTTTCTCCTCTCTGTCTCTTCTGGAAGAATCTTGTATGTACAAAGGCTGAAAAGTCTCGTCGGGTAGATGTATCAATTCAGGAAAATGGTATCAAAATTGTAATCGGGTTAACTGGTTATTTTCTTCTAAACCTCTTAGGAAGGAGGCTTTTGTTTCTGAAAATGTCTCCTCATTACTCATTATATGTGTGTGTGTGTGTGTGTGTGAGCACTTGTGTGTGTGTGTGTGTGTGTGCGCGCGTGCGTGTAGGGGTGTGTGTAAGAGATGCGTTCCTCTGCCATGGTTTTTGCAGACCATATTCATGAAGAAGGGGCCAATCCAAAGAGTGAATGAGGCTTGGGGGAAGGAAGAAAGAAGGGGGACATTCTGGGTTACGCCAATTCACAGTCGTAGCGTTTCACTGAGGTGGGATTCTTCTTGGCTTAGTTCCCTACTTGAGAAGCCATTCGTTTACTGAAAAGAGAGAGAGAGAAAGAAACAAACCACACACATACACACACACATACACAACACAAAACAAGGCATAACTGAATTAATTTGCACATTAACGGGGCCTGACTCCAAAGGGGAAGGGGCTATTTTGTAAATGCCAGCTTACGTATTAGTATCCCAGCTACTCCCTTCCCCACGACCCTCTAGACACGTGCTGTTCAATCTGGTGGCCGCTAGCCACGTGTGGCCACTGAAATCCAAATGAGTTAAAATGCAAAGTTTAGTTACTAGCCACATATCAACTGTTCGACAGCCTCGTATGGAATAGATCATTTCCATCATTGCAGAAAGTTCTGGAGAACGGCACTGGTCTTGACCAGGGATGGGCAAACTTCAGACCAGGACCTGTTTTTGTGAATCAGGTTTTATTGAAATATTGTATTGTTTATTGTAAGTGAAGCTTCATTTATGGTAATCCACACCCCTGCATCTGGTTCTTGTCTGTGGTTGATGTCACACTACATTAGAGTGAGGCAGAGACGGTGTGACCCACAAAGCTTAAAATATCTGCTCACTGCCCCTTTACGGAAAAAGTGTGCTAATTTCTGTTGTAGACGATAGCTCTGTAGGGTTAGGGTCACACCTGTCTTCACCACTGCTGTGTTGCCATTGTCTACCTAAGTGTCTGGCACATAGTAGGCACACCATGAATAGATGCTGAATAGAGGGAAGGGGCAGTGCATGAGTTGGGCATTTATTTGTCTAGCAGTTCTGGCTTGAAGGGAGCAGACAAATCTATGGTTTAGGCAGTGTGTGTCAGTGTGTCTGAAAGAAGAGAGAAGGAAGGGCACATGGGGAGACCTGCCTGGTGAGAACCACAGGCCTGTCTTTGGAGAGTGTGCTATTGCTACAAAAGGCCTCCCCACCCAGGCTCTTGTTTGTCCCTCACAGCAGGCAAGGAAGTAAATGGGGATAGGGACTGTCAGAAAGAATCCTGGTCTAGAGGGGTAAATGAGCTGGTTGGGTATTTGTAGCTTGTTAGAACAAGGCCTGGACCTCAGGTCCAGGGCCTATCTAAGACATTATTGCACCTCCACCTCCCTTTCCACACTGAGAGTCTGCAAAATGACCACCAGATATTCAATCCATGTGCAGAAGGAAGGAGAGAGGGCTGAGGGTGGGCCCGGGTTTCAGGAGGCAGAAGTCATCTTAAACGTACCCTGCAGTAGGAATCATAACCATTCTAGGGTCAGAGTATTGGACAAAGATATGTTCACACATGTTACCTCATTGGACCGGATGGCCTGGCATCCAGAGCATTGCTCAACTTTGAGGGACACATAACCAAAGGCCCTACTGCTTCTTATTATCCTGTTCTAACATATAACCTTGGGGAAATCAGCCTTTCTGGGTTCTTGTTTAAAATGGCAATAAAAAAGGACTGTCTGGCCTGAACCAGAGGGGTATAAAGGTTTGATACATGTGACATCAAACTTAAATACACCTGTAGATATGCATCTTATATATCAAACATTTATCACCATTTAGTCACAATACATAGGCTTTCCAAAAAGAAAATCATCATGCAAATGTTGGGGGGAGGGTCCCCTTGTCATCCATAGTCATGATTTCTATACTGGGAGACAGTGTCAGGCTTTTAAGAACAGGTCTCTAAGAGGGACATGGGGCTCTGGCCTGGGTCCTCCTCTGCTGTCTGAGCCACCGTACCCACCTCTATACTGAAGCTTCTGGGCTCGGTTGTTCGGACAGTCCTTCCCCTGTAAACTGAAGTTGATGTTGGTGCGGATGCAGCGGTTGTTGAGTGGCTGCACAGGCCTGAAGTTGTCACTCATGCTCAGAAAGATCTGAGATGGCTGATTCTGGCTGAGTAGGCGTAAGGAATGCATCTGAGGAGAGAGAAATAGCTGTGTGAGATGCAGTCACGCTCTTTGATGCACAAAGCAAGAAGTGAGACCAGGCAGACTGGGCCAGGTGGCACCAGGTGTCTGGGAAAGGGCACCAGCCACTTCTCCCTGGGTCCAGTTGAGTTGAGGAGCTGCTAAGGCCTCCAGGCATGGACCAAGCCTTGCTCCTGGCTCACTAGCTCGCACGTGACTCTATGGGTTATTTATTGCCCCCCTCACATGTGCCATCTGTTAAAGGAGAAATTCTAGCTAGGTGCTCTCCAGGGTTCCTTCTTGCTTTGACACCCCATGGTTCATTCATTCCCTGACCCCCATGTGGACATTACCCAGACCATAGTGATTGACCCAGGGGGTCAGAGCTAAACTAAGCTGGACCAATTCAGTTCCTTTTCTGTGCATCACAGAGCCAGGGGTCTGACCTCTAGCACCTGCAGCCATGTTCCGCCACAGGACTGAGAAGCAAAAGGAGCCCAGCTCTAGCAGGAGAGAAGAATGAAGCAAATGTACAGTGAGGAGAGAAAAGCAGAGGAAGGGCTTCTGATTCTGGGGAGTTCCTGACACCCGTTTCTGATCTCATATTCCACAAGAAGCCCCAGTATCTTTTGAATAAATCCTTTGTCTAAGCTTAAGCTACCTGCAGGAGGTTCCTGATGCTTGTCACTCAATGAGTTCCAATCAATACAGAGAGGAGGCTGTGAACATGTCTCCTGTCAAGGAGGCTGAGTTCTGCTTCATTGGCTCATCTGTCCTTTAAGTTTTGATGGGCTCTCACAATTGTGGAACATCAGAGCATGTAATTTACCCCCCATGATAAGGAGGAGGAGTATCGATTTCACAGAGCAGGGTGACAGACCTGAAGTGCACCATGAGCCACGGAGCAAAGCTGGCCCAGGAGGGCAGGCCTGGCTCCCATCCATCTAGAACATCCCACATTCAAGAATGTGTGTGGAATACCATGTATCACATTGCCTCCTTTCGGAGACCGATGCATGTGTTATCAGTTTACAAAGGCCTGAGAAATCCTTCCACAATAAAACTTATGTAACTTTTTAAAACCCACCTTTTCCAAACATGTCCGATGCTATCATTCAATTTGCTCCTGTGCTCTTTGGATGGTATGACTGTAGAGTACATTTTGGGAGCTAACTGTGCAATCTTCTCTCACTCAGAAAGGTGGGATGCTTCTATAGTTAGTTCATGCTAAATCCTGAGGCTGGCTCTTTAAACACAGGTATTATGAGCTGAATTGTGTAACCCTCAATTTTCATAAGTTGAAGGCCCTGGTAACCTCGAGTACTTCAGGATGTGACCTTACTTGGGAATAGGGTCACTGTAGAGGTATTTAGCTAAGGTAAGATGAGGTTACTGGAATGGCCTCTTCAAATTAAGCATGATTGGTATATTTATAAGAAGGAGGACTCCATTTGTATACTATGAACTGAAATGCATTCTGCTGTCCTGTGTAACAAATGAGAACAAATAAATATATAAATTTTAAAAAAATTTAAAAAGAAGGAATTTGGACACAGAGACTCAGAAAATGTCACACGAAGATGAAGGTAGAGATTAGGGGTGATGCTTCTCATACCCAGTGGCACCAGAGACTGTGAGCAAACCATCTAAAGCCAAGGAGAGGCATGAAGTATCCTTCATATCTTTCATAAGGAATCAATCTTTTTGACACCTTGATCTTCAGCTTCTAGCTTTCGGAACCATGAGTCAATAAGTTTCTGTTGTTTACACCACCCCGTCTGTGGGACTTTACAACAGTCCCTAAGCCAACCCAGCCAGTCTTTACATCCATCTTCCCCATTAGCTAAAGGACGAAAGCTAAGCTCACCTGCATCCTGGTTATATAGACAGGCTTGTTCATTATTATCCAACTTGCTGTCTCATAGCAGGGAGGGATGGTCATCGACCCATCATAAGTAATGAAACTGGAGGTCTCTGGATATAGTTCCTCTATATTAAGTCCCTGTAGTAAGTATGCATCATCTAGAAAAGAAGGTAACAATAGACTTAAATGTTAAGTTTCTTAAGAAAGTACTGGTATTGTTTATATATATTTCTTTTTGGATTCCAGACAACTGATATCTGTCAGGATAGGCTGCAGTAACAAAAAGTCCCATCACCTCCTTTCCCTATTTCAATCACTTTAATCAACAAAGTTTTGTGTGTGGCTCTCAAACATGTCCATGCAAGTTTGGCTAAGGGCTTCCCTCCAGGTCTTTATTGTACACATTTTGGGACCCAGACTCTTGGAGAAGACACTGTCTGGCTGCATTGTGATTTGTGGATCATAATGACAGAAGGAAAAGCAAGCATGGTGAAATATTTGTTGGCTCTGAAGGCTTCCGTCCCAAAGTGACACATTGACTTCTGTTCTCATTTTGGTAGCCAGAGAGTTCCATGACCAAGGCTGAAATCAGGGCTGCAAGGAAGCACATTCTTCCCATGGGATGGGACACTGAATGCTGGTGAGCTGAAAGCAATGTGGTCCACCACAGGACCATGGCAGAGTCAAGTCCTTCATGAGGGTCCCTGA